AAGTGGCGTAAAAATTATGCACCAGGCGTTTTAGCGCAGAATAGGGATCAACATATCAAAAACAAGCGCGTAATGGTAAGCGATTAGAAAAGGTACCCGAATCGATCGAAACCTGTCCTCCCCTAGTCCCACTGTTTGTAGAAGTCCCTCGATTTCAGAACCCGTCCACACATGGGCAGAATTAGCCGAGTCTCCGACAGACACAAGACGTGATCTGGTTATTTCCATGACCCTATGAAGGCTCGCGAGGAGATTGAGGAGTGGTTCGGTGTTCTCCGCTTCGGGGGGTCGAAGGTTAATAAACTTATGGAGGTCCTCCTTCGCGGTGAGAATATCCTTCTCCAGAATAGTGCAGGAAGTGGCCTCTCTGGCGGCATCTTCAAGGTTATGCGCCTCGTCGATGATAATTATGCTGCCTTCTAGGTCGCTGGCGACCTACAAATAGTATGATGTAATAAAAAGGCATCGGCCAGAAGCTCACCTTCCCTCTAATCACGGTATCCAAAAGGTAATTATATGGGCAAAAGACAATTGTGGCCATTTCAACCAGCTTCCAAGCTCGAAAGTAAGGACAAACAGGGACCTAAGATTTACGCAAAGGGTAAACCAGAAAACTTTGCTACCTTTGATAAGCGCTCAACATACTCTTCTAGGTCCCAAGAACCGGTTCGGTTGAGATCTTCTATGCATTTGGTTACGTCAGAACGTTTTTTAGGTTGATCGTAGGGACAAGCTCCCATCTGTTAGGAAAGAGGGTCAATGGACAAAATGCGCATACACGTGTTAGGTTAGCACAGGCATCATTGATGTTGCTCTGTCGACGAATATCAGGATTGATGCAGGTGTGGGCCCGACTACTTAAGATGCACATACGGGTCTTTGCGTATTTGGTCTTACGCAACTCACGGACGACCTGGGATATTTGCTTGTGAGTACGCGTGCCGAAGAAGATCCTCGGTGGTCGCCTACAGAAGGAAGGGAAAGAGACATTCTAGGGGGACAAGGGAGTACTGACTCAAGGAGGGCTTCTTGGGAACCACAAGTGCACATTAAGGGCTTCTCGACGGAAGACGCACCGTTAGCATCACGCTCCACGAAATCGTCATACCATTCGTCTAAAAGAAGGCGTAGAATGGAGCTTCCTTGAATACCTGTTTGTTTCGATTTGGTGACAGTAGACGCGGTGGCATTCACTGTGGCAGCCAAACAGGCCTTGCAGGGTCCTTCATCTGAATCACAATAAATTTACGCAATAGGAGCGAACCCCCGAGGCTGATGTACTGTTTTTGAAGGCACTCTAGAAGAAAGGCAGACTTTGCGTGTGAAGTAGAATAAAATTACCCATTCTGTTCTCAACCCAACCGAGGGTGGCACATAGTAGTGCCAGGGTTTTTCC